TAGATAGATAGATAGATAGATAGATAGATAGATAGATAGATAGATAGATAGATAGGTGTGTATTTGTGTGGAGGGGGCGTTTTACACTCCCATCGACCCAATTTAGATTACTTGGGAGGCGGATCGCTTCAACCCTGCATGTCAGGGCAAACACAGGCTGAAAGGGATACATTCTTAGACACTCAATTAAAAAAAAAAAAACTCCCTACAAACGAATCGAACTCGTGTCTTCTGAGAGCTACAGCGAAGTGTCTAATTGCTACACAACCTATTATAATTATGTCATTTACCCCAATTTATCCGCACACGATACTGTCCTACTGCGTAGAGCAGTTCTGCGATATATCATAGTCCAAAAGCACTTGCAACACAAATGCATGTACGTCATAAATAAGTGCCGAAGATAGGTGGTGGTACTAGAGAAAAAACATACAAAGAGGAAAAAAGGAGGAAAGGTGTTACTAAAGAATAACATACAAAGGAAACAAGGAGGAGAGATGAGAATGATGATTATTTGATTGGGAAAAAAACGTAGTAAACCACACCAGAGCACTCACCAACAACGAACAAAGAGCTAAAGCACTAAATTAACTAAATAAGACAACAACAACAAAAACACATTTTATAACAATAATAATAATAATAATAATAATAATAATAATAACACATGCAATAAACACTCGTCAGTTTTACTTTTAGTAGAGGTTTTACGGCGCTCACAACTGCATAAGGTCATATGAGCGCCAGGAAGATAAGAGGCGTTACAAGAGAGTAACAAAAATACAAAAGGAAAAGGGGAGACAAGGACGATAGATGTTTGATAGGAAAGAAGAAGCAAACCACACCAGAGCACCTGCCAACCACCCACGTGTCAGGGAATAGCCGCTCCATATTGGTGAAACCGGACAACGAACAAGTGAGTCACCTACACTTAGATTGAAATTCTTTTCAGAGTAGCCTGTCTGTAATGTGATCAATAAATTATGACTGACAGCCGTGGGCCGGAAAAGTGTAACTGCGTCGATTGCTCACAATGCATCGTAACCGCCTAGGGAACAAACGAAAAGAAGTTAGGATTCCTTACTGCGTCTCTGCTTTTCACCACTATCCAGCTGTTTTTATGTACAGTCCTGGGAAGTATGAAAAAAAAAGAAAGGGGGCAGAAATGGGGGTGAGATAGACTCGTGTGGGCAGTTTCGTTCCTAAGAGAGGGGGGAGAAGAGAGGGGAGTGGACAGAGGAGAAAGTGAGGATGGGGCGAATAAAACAAAAGGGAGGAGGGGGGGTGCTTAAGTATGTTATTACCAAAAAAAAAGACATCTGTAGCGTGCGTGGCTGTGATGTGTCCATTACAACTTTAGAGGAATAAAATAAATAGGTCCACCCTCTCTCCACCGTCCATTCTCAATTTGTCAATAGACAAAATTATGTTTAGTACGTCACATATTCCATGCAGCAAAGGTGTTCTTGCTATCAGAATCCCCATTGCCTGAGCACAGAAAATGTGTCACATGGCGGAATCAGGCGCTCGTCACTTTTGGGCATGTGGAGATATTGGCACCATCTTAAAGCCTGTACATTTGCCTTGCCTTAGATGAAAAAATACCCCTTTATCTTGAATAGAAGTTGAGATTTCTGATTGAAAGAGGTGGAGGTCGCCTGGTTTCAGAGGTAAAATTAACGAGAAAATGGCCCTCAAAGTTTTGCGACTTCCTTAGCTTGAGAGCCCTCGGAAACTGAAATTTTACATTTTTGTGCCTTTAATCAATCTTCCTCAGCAAAATTTACAAAGTATTTGAGTCTTTAAATGGACATAAAAGTATTTAAGCCGCAAAACAAAAATTCGATAAAAATGCACAAACCGGTGGAAAAACGCCAGTTTCTTTGATTTCATTACTTTGACGAGCGCCTGATTTCACGATGCCTTACAAATACTGTGAGTACTCCTGACCTTTCCAGTTCTTAAGTGTAATGTGATCTTACCTAGCCATGCTTTTCCAAAAATATTTCTGCACACTTTAAAATAATAACCCACCGCAACTTCACTATTAGATTCGACTTAAAAGTCTTTCTTCTGTCCTTTGAGAAGAAAATGGCAGGTTTTTAAAAAATCAGCTGTTATAATAGTGTATCTGTACACGGGAAAATGTACTGTATTGTGTGATGTGGGTTCAACGCCCCTTTCAACACTGCAAGGTGTACTTTTTTTTTAGAGAGGGGCCATTGAATTCAACATCTACTCGCTCAGACAGCACGCACGGACAAGTAGGTCGAGAGCCTAGAAAACTCCCCCAAGCAATTCAATCTCAATCCCAGTCCAATGAGAATTCGAACCAGAACAATTCATTCTATAACCCAGCATCATATAACCTGAGCGAACGAAGCACCCGTCTAAGCAGTATTCTGGAATTTAAGCATCAGCTAACCCCCCC